AGCATTCAGTAAGTGCTAGTTGACTTTTCACTTTGGCAGACATCTTCCATAATTGAATTTTAGATTAAATTCCTTTTTAAAAATAGGATTCTAACATAGAGTAAACTTTCAATTGAAAACAATTCAACCTGATAGAGTAGAATCACGGCAAAGAAATCTAAAATTGTAAAATCCAAGGTAATTCCTATTTGAGTGGAGGCAGAAAAAAATTTTGTTTTTTGCTAAACTAATTATCTACAATTAGGTAAATGTTATTTGGGGGCAAATGCCAATAGGTGGGGAATCAATCCCTTTCCAAAAAGGACCAAAAAACAACTACTGAAAATAATTCACAACAGTGAATACAATCTCTTCTTGATAAGATATTCTTTGTTGAAAACAAATATTAACCTTCTAAAACTTATTTTGAAGTATGACTTCAGATAATTTTTAGACCAGTTTTAAAGGTGAATGAGATGGAGATGGAGTTGCATTGCCAGTCCAAGACAACAATCAAAAGCTAGGATTTAAACTTGCCATTTCTTGTGCTCTCCTGCTCTGCTGCTTTGCCTGCAGCTCCATCCTTCAGCGATCGTGTTTCCCAGCATTTCCCCAGGTCAAAAAATCAGAACATCAATGTCTGTAAGCACATTGATCAAATCTTTGGGTAAGTACATTTCAAACCTTTTGTTTTATTAAAGAGAAAAATAAAATGACAGAATGCTTTTTATATGCCAGGTTCTTTTGAATAAATGTGTCATTAAATGCTATTTACTGCCTGATGATAAATGGCCCATTTTACTGATTACATAAGGGGATTGGTGGTCCAGCATCTGACCCACTTTCTGTTTGGGACGAATCCCCTGCTGTAGATAGCATCAATGAGAAGGAAGGCTGAATATCACACTGTGGACACCACCAAGGATACCATAGAAGTGAGACCTTTCCCTGAAATGGACAGGGTCCAGGATTAGCCAACAGGGTGCTGCTGCATATGAGGCACAAAGATGGAGAAAAGAGTAGACATCCTTTGAAGCAGTGGTGATATGTCTGATGGTGGCACTTTGTGGCAGTGCCCAACAGTTGGACCTCTCCTGTCCATCTAAGAAAAGGTTGTTTTTCTTCCTCTACAAACCCTTTGCTCACAGCTGAATTTCCAAGCCTGTCCCTTTAACTCCTGTCAATCTTGGGAGTCAGCAGTACAGTATTTCTTTGGTAAATTCCAATTCTGGTTGATATAACCAGAGTTGGTGCAGTTCTTGCAACCAGGATCCCTGACTGATGCATGAGGAAATTGGCTCCAAGGTTGAAGAGCTTGCTCATTCAGGAATCATAGCAAGAGAAAGTGTTCTGACTGAGAAGTCTTCTGTTTTCCTTGACTCCAGCTTCCCTGGAGAATTCTAAAGAAAGCACAGAGAGGGCTGGGGCTGCAGCTCAGCAGTAGCACGTGCAAGGCCCTGGGTTGGATCCTTACCACCATATAAAAATAAATAAATAGAAAAAAGAAAAAGGTATTGTGAAAAAATTCTTAAAAAATAGCACAGAGACAAGGAATTAGCATGGTGTACAGTAGGAATTGAATACCAGTAAGTTTATGAACATTTACCCCTAAAATCCACATACAATGACACATCCATAAATAAGTGGGTCTCCTCTATGCCAGGGACCATGCTGTTTTCAAATATTATTTTAGTACATCCTCACGCCAAGGTGATAAGGTGGGAATTGTTTCCATTGTTTCAGTGGAAAAACTAAGTCCCGAAGAAGTTTGTCCAAGTTTACATTACAGTGGTAGTGCTGGGATGAACTTGACTCTCCAGAGAAGAAAACTGTTCATTAATTAATCCACAGCTCCACTATGAAATTTAATCAATCTGCCAATTTTCTATTAACCCCACTGTGGCCCTCATACAGCTTCATCGGTAGGTGTATTCTTGTTCTTTCTTTTTGTGTGGTCTTATATCTGTCCCTGGGTATGTCATTTGACTTTTTTCCTTTAGGCCGGGTGTCTGGACTATATCCCTACTGAGGTCTTCCTTCCCGTATATCCAACTCCAAAGTCCACCATAGCAGTTACTGGAGCAGGCACCAATTGAAAGTTGGCCATTGACTGGTCAAGGAAGAACAGTACAGACAGAAAGACTTATCTTCCTAAAGAGCTTACAACCAAAATCGGAGTTTGTACTTATCTTCTGTGCCATTCTGTTTGCCTCTTCCTCCCCTGTAGCTCCCAGAAGAACCATGCCTTAACTTACTAGACCGTAAAATGGAGCAAAAGATCCTTGTTGGCAGAATAAATAAATACCAGACATTTCAGGGTCTTTGGGGACAGATCCCTTGCCCAGACCTGGCTCACGACAGGCCAATGAACACTTCGTTGTTTGTGTTTTGGATTAAGAAAATGAGTTCTGCATGTTTCCTACCATCACAAGAAGCAGCGAATTGAATTGGTGCCATTGTAAGCTTGATTGTTGTTGCATAGATAAAAGCCTCATTAAGTCCCTCATGAGGAGAAAAGAATTTTATTTTGAGGAAAGAGGAGCAAGGAGGGCTTCTTGCTTATTGTGGTTACAACAACAAAACATTAAATGGAGGAAATAATTAAATAACTGCACTTTTTTTACCCTCGTCAAGAGACTGGGTGAGTTTTTAATTAGTGCTGCATTTTCAATAAATCTGTATCTGTACGTGGTGCCGATTCTTTCCTGGATAAGGAAAAGATAATAATGAGAATCCTATTTTTTCAGCCCACACTAAAGGGATGCCTGGTATATTTAATCATGCTGTAGAAATCCTGGCAGCTTTCTCTGAGCCCGGCCTCTGCTCTAATTACATTTCTAGATTTTAGTAAATTGAAAGGGAAAATGTAGGAACAAAATAATTAAAACTGAAGAGGAAGTGCATATTAAAAAGGAGAAGCTGTTTAAAATTCTTCCACATAGTGCTTCCAAGGACATCTACAATCGTTTAATCAGCTCCACACCAAATCAAAGTCCTTTGTACAGAGGCTGGTAGGATCATATCTCAGGTGGGCGGTATGGTCCCTTCAGTAGAATGGGAGCCTCATGGCATGGAGCTACAGATGGGGATAAGGACCTCTTCCAGATGGGGATAGGAGCTATAGATGTGAATAGTGTTCTTCCATATCACTGGGGATTCAGGCCCAGCCTGGATAAGCTGCTGGCATGAACTCACTTGTCCTGAGGAGCCCCTCCCAGATCCTGGGCAGAGCCTGACTAGGCTTCAGGGATTCGTTTCAATTGTGAGAAAGCTAAAGCAGGTTGTCAGTGTTTTCATTTTACCTCTTTCTGCATTGATACCCACCACCATGCTCCTTTCTCCAAGGACTACCCTTTTCTTTCTTCCCTGCCTCCCTGTGATCTCTGGTTAAGAGTATAGGTAACTGAACAGTCTCAGTGACATGAGAAGCCAATTGTAACTGGTTATTACTGAGTTACCTCTGGGCCTTTCTGAATTTTCACAGGGACCAAAAACTTTGCTGGCTTTAGCTAGAGGAATGAATGAATGTTTGTTGATAATGATAAATGAAATCTTAAAAAAATTAATAAGATTAGTGTAATCTAATTGAAAAGTTTCAAGTGTCAGCCTAATACACATGACAAAAGCTCTCTTTGTTTTTAAGTGGAGCAGAACACTAACCACATCATTGTAGAATTTGAGATCTCCATCTTTTGGATCATTTTGGCTGAAATGAGGTTTGTGTAAGCTCTAGGAGTTTGGAGTATTTTGTCCATGATTCCTAGGAAGTTTTAAGATGTGGGATTACTGGGTCTACTTTTGTAGCTAAAAGTAAAAGACAGCCTGGCACTATTAGAGGTTTCTCTCCAAACTCCTGTGGCTTTGCTCCTGGGCTGCCAGCCTTCCCTGCTGAACAGGCTCACCAGCCAACTGATGCCAGCACGCATGTGGCAGGAGACAGCAAGCACTGTCTCCTGGAGACTCTCCCATAGGCCTGAAAGGCAGCAGGACTCCCAGAAGTTGTTCCCCAGACAGGGCCCACACTGTTACCCAACGACCACAGGTTGATCTCTTTCATCCTATGCTCTGGGAGAGAGAGAGAGAGAGAGAGAGAGAGAGAGAGAGAGAGAGAGAGAGTGTGTGTGTGTGTGTGTGTTATGATACTATCTCAGTACAGAAGAGGCAATGCAGGATTATTTGGTTTGATTCAGTAAGAATAATTTTTTAAGATTTAAGCTAAGGAAAAGAATCATAGCAATAAAATATATCCCATTACTGACATTATTACTCCCATACAGAGATTATTTTTCCCCCTTGCAGGGCCAAGATGCTTCGAGACTTTCTTTTACTCAACCCAGGAATTAGTGATGGTCCTTGGGAGCTAAAATGTGAGGCAAACTGGGGATCCAGGTGTCCAAGACCACAAATGTCAACTGAATCAACTTCCTTTCAGTTAGTTAGGCCACCTACATACCCTGCCTTCCCCAGAAAGAACGGTCCTTCTTGGTTTTGTTTCGAAATGCTAAATTTTAAAAGATATTTTTAAAAGTCTCTATCATTGAGATAAAGTCCAAAAAATATTTTACTGAGTTGGTTTAAAAAAAATGAGTGAATACATGTAAAAGTCATTGGTAGTCCATAAACTGCTTTCAAACATAGGTTTTCATTGTGAAATGCCTTTAATATTATATCGCCCACTCCGTCCCTCGACTTGGTGCTCTTCCATCGGGTCCTCGCACCTCCGCGCGGCCTCCTGCACCTTACACGCGACCCCCTCCAAGTTCCCGCCTCTTTCTACTCAGGCCCCACCTTCTCCTTAAATTCCCGTGCCCTGGCGAGGCCCCGGGACGCATGCGCACCAGGAAAGGTAGGCGGAGTCTTGAGGAAGAGAGAGGAGGGGCAGGAGAGCCCAGGGAGGGGAGGGAGGAGAGGGAGAGGAGGAAGAGGAGGGGAGGGGAAAAGAGGGGAGGAGGCCGCGTGGGGTGGGGCCCGGCGGGTACGCGCTCGCTGCGTCGACGTGCTGACGCCAGGACGCTCCGGCCGGTGTGTGTCGGGGTGTGTGTGTGTGTGTGTGTGTGTGTGTGTGTGTGTGTGGTGTGTGTGGTGTGTGTGTGTGTGTGGTGTGTGTGTGTGTGTGAGTGCGCGCGCTCGGAGTGTGTGTATTTGTGTATCGGCGGTCCCGCAGGTCCCGGATGTTGCGGACAGTATGAGGCGAGCGCAGGGGGACGGGGACCAGCAGCTGTCGCCGCCGCTCTCAGGTGAGTGGGGGGAGGAGTGTCGAGGGAGGGGGTTATCCTGCCGGGTGGGGGGGCGCCTCCCTTAAGACGTGACTAACCCCATTACTCCCCCACACACATATTCTCTGCCCCATTTCCTACTCCTTGGTTACTTGGCCTATGAATACCAGCACCTAGTCAACCGTCTCTTCTCCCTATCCCAAGCATTCAGAAGACACAAACGCGCCCCCTGCCTTCAGCCCCCCCATCATTTCCCAGCCCCATCCCCCTTGCCAAATAGTGAGCTGTCGCCTGCGGCGAGATGGGTGATTGCGCATGCGCGAGTGTGAACGAGCTGGGTTGCCTGTTCGCTGCCCTTGGGGCGCATGCGCATGACTGTGTTGCAGGGACCTGCGGGATAAAGAGCCCCATCACCACGCGCCCGCCTTCTTCCCAGGCAATGGGCTAGACTTGCTGCCCAATAGTGAGCCTGTTGCTAGTATCTGAGAGGGAAAATTTAAATTATGTGAGTGGCTTAAGGACAAAGCACTATTCGCATCTGGTGTTGCCCTAGAGACTCCCAGACTACCACGCCGCCCACAGCCAATATGACCCATGCTGACCCTTCCTTTGAAACTACCACTGCAACTTCTGGTTCTAAGATTACTTTTCCTCTACTCATGTTGTATCTTTAGTGTAAACTTTCCCTAAATTTAGGAGTAGGTGTCCCAACCCATTTATTCTGGCGGGGGATTTTGATAGCTTTGCTAAAAGAAATGGAGGGGAAATTCCTTTTAGTAAAATTCTTAATTACCCTCACAGAACTAGGTAAGGAAGGGCTGAAGAGCACGCACAAAAGCTTAGGTTAATGTAAATCAAGACTTAAGGATTCTCAGTTACCAGGCCTCCTACTTTGTGTGACCTGTTTGCCTCTTTTTTTTTTTTTTTTGGGTCAAAGATCTTCCTTACAGCTTTTGTTTTAGCTGTACGTTATTAATGCCCTGTGACCATCACATGAAAACAAAGACAGTCTGAAACACTTGATGAACAATAATTTGTCCAGTGAAAGTTTTAATTTTAAATAATGAGTAAGATGTTTTCTTTCTCATTGGAAAATCACAAAAACAATTTAAAATAAAGAATTTTAAGGTACAATAATGTTCCAGTGAACTAGGACCTGGGTTTCAGTTGGCTTGTTATATTTGGTCCTTTAATTTGCTCCTGTGTTATGACTTTCTTGGATAGTTGGCTGCATCTTACTTCTGCCATCAGAAGGAAAAGATAAACTCTTTCTTAGCAGAAGACTTTGCCGAAGAGTGTTGAAATGAATAGCTAAATTGTGGGGGGAGCACAAAGGGGAAGGAAGGGACATTTTCTGTTTTTCAGTTATCCTGCCAAACTTGTCTCCTAAGTGGATAAATGGAAATGGAAAGTAAGCCTTTCTAGTCTTTTCCTTTAATATTCTTTTCTCAGAGTCTCCCCATTCTTAAATCTAGGATCTCGTGTTTTGAGGCCTTAAAGTATGTATGTGTGTATAAATATGTAATGTATGTGTGTGTGTGTTTTTTTTCCACTTCCCCATTTAACCCTGGTCTTATGTGGTTCAGCTGTCTTTTGTGTCATTTCCTGTTGCCATATTACTGTTGGAGCCAAGAGATGAAATAAGAGAAACTACAAGGGATTTGGGGTACATATATCATTCTATGTGCTGGGAAAGAGCTAGAGACTCACCTTTTTTCCCCTCATGCTGAGAAGTATATGTTATTGTGACAGCCCCACACTTAGGATCCGAGTAGTTGGTATCCATTTGGTACTTTGATGATTTCTCCTTTTGGAGCAATCTGTATAGTGACTAGTTTTGTAGTTGGAAATACTTAATGTCACCCATGATCCAGACTTGGGTCAAGGTTCTGGCAAAATCTAGAAGTGAGGTAATAAATTCTGTCTTCTCAGTAGGCTTCTGTCATCTGGGATGCTTTGTTCTTATCTGGAAACGTTTCATCTAGTTGAATTCATTGAAGCTTTGTTTAAAACTTTGATGGTACAAAGGCATGAAATGCTTTTAGGATTAAGATAAGTATTGTTAAGTAATTTGTATTGGTGTAGAGCCTTGTTTAAAAAAATCAATATGGGTAATACATGTACATATATATGAAATAAAATTCAGAAAGTACACAAAGAGAGTGAAAAGCTTTTTAGCGCCATCCTCCTGTCCATCTAGTGACCCTCCCCATAGTCAGTATCTTGTTTATCCTTCCAGAGAGAGTCTATGCAGTTTATAAGTACATATGCCTGTACTTTGGTTGGTTGGTTGGTTGGTTGGTTTTTGTTTTACACAATGATAGATACTGTACCTGTTATTCTGAAATTTTCCTTTTCACTTAGTTTCGTCTTGGTGATCGTTTCATACAGTATATGCAGTATCTCCTTGTTTTTGAAAGATGGCAGGTATTGCATTTTTATAGAGGTATTTCAGCCAATTCTTACTATTGGACATTTGTTTCTAGAGCTACAATTAATTTTTTATATGTACTTGGATATTTGATTAAATTCCTAGAGAAGTGATAGATCAATGTGTGTGTGCATTTTTAACCTTAGATATTGCTAAATTGCTTTCTATAGAGGTTGTATGTGCAACAGTGCAAGTCTGCCTGTTTCCTCACCAGTACTGTGTTATCAAAATTTTTAATCTTTTGTGCATTCTTTATGATTTTAAAGTTAATTATGTAGCTTGTTATGCTTGATTACACAAAGGAGTTGTGAACAAATACAATCACTGTTTTTTTCTTTTTTAAATTTTTTTTTTAGTTGTAGATGGACACAATATTTTTATTTATTTGTTTGTTTATTTATTTATTTATTTTATGTGGTGCTGAGGATCAAACCCAGGGCCTCATGTGTGCAAGGCAAGTGCTGTACCACTGAGCTACAACACCAGCCCACAGTCACTGTTGTAAAGATCAAGGATGGTAGAAGAAATTGTGCAACTGAAAAATAATGCCATGAGAATGAGGCCATGTATCTGGATAACTGCCACATCCTTGACAGTGCTAGGGAGGCATATAAGACCTGTAATCTAATTTCTTCTCTTAACTCTTAGATGCTAGTTTCTTTTTTTTTTAATTATTTTTTATTCTAATTTGTTATATATGATAGCACAATGCATTACAATTCATATTACACATATAGAGCACAATTTATCATATGTCTAGTTGTATACAGATGCTAGTTTCTTTATGTGAAACTCTTAAACCTGTAAGTGATGTTTTGTGATATCCTTTTGATAGCTGTGATGTGAGATTGATTATCCAAATGAATTGCTGTTCTCTTGAAGAACCAGTTAGTTAAGGTGCTTTACTGAGTGCCTACTGTCCCAGGTAGAATGTTGGTATTTGCACTTTTAAAAGTCTGCTGATTACAGATTACTTCAGTATAAGCCATGAAGAAATAGAAAAGAATGAAAAGATGTCTGTGTTTGGAACTTATAGTCTTACTAGGAAACCAGATCTACTGAATATATGAGATATAAGAGGACAGTTAGAAAATAGGATGTGAATAGGATTATATTGGACTTTGTGCTGAAACAATCTTGCAAGGAAGTGATCAAAGGTATAGGAGAATTTTCTCAGGAGGACTTATTGGAAGAAGTGCATTTTGAACCTTTTTACCCTTTTTTCTACAACTGTTTAAGTAAAAATTAAATATACAGAAAAATGGAAAGAATAGTATAGATAACATCTTTATGCCCATCACTTTGATTTAGCTGTTGTTCACATTTCTGCTATACTTGCTTTACCTGTCTATATATGTATATATGTGTTTAGATACATAATATGTACATTTTTGTACTGCAGATATCATAACTTTAAACTTAAATACTTTAGATGTATCTCCTTGAAATACATTGTTCTATTTAATTGTCCTTACAGTACTTGTTACAGTTCAGGCAGTTAATAGTAATGCTGATATTCAGTTTCTTTCAGATTTTTCCCAGTTGCCTTGAACATGACACTTTTTTTTTTTTTTTAGCTGTTTATTTATTTTCTTTCAAACATGTCTCTCTAGTCTTAAAAATACAGAAAAGTTTAGAAACCACACAACATGGGTTTTTTTGTTGTTGTCTTTAAGAAACAAGATCATTTATGTTGTAGCATATACCACTTCTGGAATTTTCCAGTTGTTTCTTAACTATTTAATTTCTTTATCCCTGTGTTACCTATGAACTGGTATTAAGACTAAAGGCTTGATTACATTATCATTAAACATTTTTGGTAAAAAATACTTCTCAGATGTTGTTCTGTTCCTCATGGCATCATATTAGGAAATACATTAATGTCATAGCCCTGTAATGAATAATGTTAAGTTTGATCATTTGTGTTTCAGGTGATAAATAACAGATCTCTTCATGGTAAAGATGTTTTTCACTTTGTAATTAGCAAGTAATCTGTAGAGAGGTGCCCCTCTGGCACCATACTGTTAATACTTCTCCTGCATCCTTTAAAAGGATGGTCCTTGCCTGAATCAGTTAATTCACTGGTTGTTACAAAATGGTGATATCTAATTGTACTAGACCTTTTTACATTGGTTTTAGATTGGTTTTCAGTCTTCAATGAAGATTTTTCTCATCACTTTGGAATAAATGATAATTTCTACTAAAAAGAGAATTTCTTAATTCTTTCAACACTTTTCTAAGAAGGGAGATGGTCAGCTTTAATGGTGGTAAATGAATTTTCCTTTTCTCTCTTTTAGTATCATCATGAACTCATGGTTTTTAATTTATTGTGTTCTACCAACAATTACAATCTTTGTGATGCACAAGATGTTCCATATTTGGCCTGTGGGAGCCCTTTCAGCTCAGTGTGTGAGTGCTTCCTTGCTTTCTGGCATAAGTTGTTCCTGGCTCACTTTGTATTTTTCCTGTCCCAGATGTGAAACCCTCACTCTACCTTTATACATCTTCCCTTTCAATAAATTAGGTTTTTCGTCTCCCTTATGGAGCTTCTGGAACCAAATTCTCAAAACTGAAGGTGCCTTTATTTAAC